AGGGTACTTTATAGATGGCGAAACCAAAATGATTATAGTTATTTTAAACCCTAAAAACAAATGTGTTGCGAAATATGGCCCTGATCCCATGTCTCGCACTGTCGCGGTTTGCTCAAAATGACTGATTTGGAAACGTTAATGTGGGCGAACGGAGCGTCGTATCACAAATCCAAAAACAGATTTGGAATCCTCAAGACTTTTACCATGGTATAGGCTATATGCGCTCTTTTGAATTTTCAGATTTCATCCTGATAACAATCGGCGAATTTCAGTCGATTACGTGTTTACAACAAACATTTGCGTGGCTCAAGTACCGACCATTTTCGGGGATCGTTGCCGTAAGAAGGTGTGGCTATCTACTCCATATATATAGCCTATACATTGGCAAATTTTTTGAGGATTCCAAATCTGGTCTCAGATTTGTGATACGACACCCCGTTCGTTCACATTAACGTTTTCAAGATGGAAATGTTACTCGACGAGACATGGGATTTTTGGTCTTTTTGAAACATTTTTGGTTTTAGGCTTCAAAATAACCATGATAATTTTGGTTTCGCCATCTAGAAAGTGCCCTATTCCCTGTCAAATTTTGATTTGATTTGATTTGATTTGATTTATTGTTAAGGACTTACAAACAAGCACTTAAGAGTGCCACTGGCATGCAAGCCCGCCCTCCAAATCAATAATTACAAATTCATGATAAAAATAGTTATAAACGAAAAATAGAGATAAACACTTATATGCTTGTCGCAAAGGACACCTTAAACTAATGGAACAACATAATTAATTATACAAAAATAGTTTGTACTCTAATTTGGTTTTAAAAGAAACGATCGTAATCACTTATAAACTAAAGGAACAACGTAATTAGCTTGTATAAAAAATATTTTGTCTATTTGGTTACATTATGAACAAGAATCACATCACAACAGACATGGTCGCATGAGGTCATAAGGAGGATAAGCTCTTTTCAACGAGATTTTTCACAAAGTTAACAGATCTGCCCAGGTGCTCATAAAGGTGGAGGTCGTTCCACATTTTGCTAGACTGTAGGAGAAATGAATTATGATATTTTTCTGTTCTGTGAATAGGTATTTGTAACTGTAACTTGCTTGACCTAGTGGAGCATCTATTACTTGTAGATATAAATTTGTATTTCTCAAATAAGTATGCTGGGGTTTCTGACTTAATAATTTTAAAGACCATCAAAGCAACAGCCAAAGCCCTTCTATTTTCGATTTTTAGAAACTGTAACTTGTCATAATAGGGTGTAATGTGCTCAAATCTGGAGGCTCCAGTTATGAAACGCACACATGCATTTTGCACTCTTTGCAGTCTAGCATTATTACAGTCAGTAATATCAGTAAAAAGTGCAGAGGCATAGTCAAGATGAGGCATCACCAGGGTCATGATCAGCATTTTCCTAATATTTGGAGGTATAAAAGAGAACGACCGCCTCAGCTGTGCTAAAGTTCCTAATATTTTCTGTATTAACAAAGTGCATTGGTCGGTCCAGCTCAGTGATCCATCGAACAACACTCCTAGATTATTAACAGTACTCTTATATGGAATGACACAGTCATTGACAATCAGCTCTGTAACAGTCATCCTGGATAAAATATTTAGAAATCTTTGGGATCCTAATATAATGGATTGAGTCTTTGATACATTTAGCAATAAATTATGCTTTTCACAATAATCTATTATATTCACCATATCGCTTCTTAGATAGTTCAAGTTATCATCCAAGGCATTCAAAGGAAAGTGAATATATAGCTGTATGTCATCAGCATACATCACGTATTTACAATGCTTTAAAACAGTAGGGAGATCAAATAAATATATAAGGAACAGCAATGGTCCCAGCACACTGCCCTGTGGTACCCCTGTGGTGATCTCAGCCCAGTCAGACATTTGATCTGATGCCACGACAACTCTATGACAGCGCATGGTGAGATATGACCGGAACCAATTTATAGCGGACTTTGAGAAACCTAGGCACTCCAGTTTGGTACATAGTAGTTCATGATGGACACAGTCAAAGGCTTTGCTTAGATCTAACAACACCAATAAAGATAGAAGTCTCTTGTCAATGGCTTCTCTGATATCATCAGTGACTTTTAGCAGTGCGGTAACAGTACTAAAACCCTTTCTAAATCCAGACTGGTTTTCTGCAAAAAGCTTTTTATCATTCAAAAACTCTGTGACTTGAGAGTGCACTAGTTTTTCCAGAATCTTACCCAGCACGCACAGTATGCTGACTGGCCTGTAATCCTTACTCTCTTTGGGATTTTTCACCTTTGGTATTGGTATAATATTGGCCCTCTTCCATATATCAGGATACAAACCATTTTGTAGGCTAAAATTGAACAGATGATCAAGTACAGGTAACAAAGCTGGTAAGCACATTTTAATGAACAATACTGAGATACCATCCACCCCAACAGCCTTTGACTTTATAGAGTAAACAGCTTTAACAATTTGCTCAGGTAGTACATACCTAAAATGGAATTTATCCATAATATCAGACGACTTATCTTTTCCTGTTCTCATCTTATATTTCAATACAGTATCACGTATAAGCTCTTCGTTTCTTACAGATGATACGGAGGCATAATGTTTATTAAGATCAGGTGCACCCACCACTGGGTCAGGGTGTTTATCTTTAGACTTGCCTACATTTAGAGATCTAATTGTATTCCAGATCGACTTGGAGTCCCTTCCATTCTCAAACTTCTCATAAAAGTATTTCATCTTTGCACTACGAATCATTCTTTCACTCTATTTCGGGCCCTTTTAAAATTATCCAAGTCATCCGGACTGTCGGTTCTGTTGTGAATTTTTTTGAGCTTATTTCTCTGTTTAATCAGACCTCGAATTGTGTTATCCATCCATGGAGCAGAATTTTTCTTTATGGTCTTAGTACTTACAGGTGCATGATCATCCATGAGTTTGTTGAAGATACAATTAAATTTATCCACTTTGTCGTCTATATTACTCTCCGTATAAACTTGACTCCAGTCTGAGTTCTCTACATCACTTAACAGTTCCTCCACGTTTTCCCTACTAAAGTTTCTAAAAGTTAGCTCTTGCTTAACATTACGTGGGGTGGACAGATCAAAAACAGCACTAATCATATCATGGGAAGAAAAACCAGAAGCAGAGGTTTGTCCACACGTGACTAGTTTGTCAGGACAGTTACTGCAAATAACGTCTAAAATAGAGTCACAATTATTAACATGGTAGGTTGCCTGATGAGGAACACAATATAAGTTACAAAGACTAAGTAATTCAGGCACTACAAGAGCATCATCCCCTCCCCTGCCAAAACCTGCATTGAGGTCCCCACAAAGAAAAGAGTATGTAAGCAGATTTTACCTAGCTTGCTTGGTTTGGCCGATGTTAACGGATAACAAAACGTCTGCACGCCCGTTTCGGAAAAGTAGTTTCCACCCGCTGACTCGGCTTTCCTCCCTCCGCGACCTTCTATTGTTCCGTCCGCGCATTTCCGTTCCGAACACCCTGCCGCCGCCCTCTGCCGCCCTGGCGCCGTTTCCAAGCCGCGGGCGGCCGTCGTCAGCCGCACGATCAGGCTGGGCAGCACACCCACAAAACGGCGGACTTGAACTTGCGCCAAATTTTGTTTAGGGTGACCTGCCAAGAGTGTTTTGAATCAAAACTTCCCTCGCCCGGTGGTGGTGCCGGCGATGTCCTGCACGTGCACAGCGATGCGCCCTAAACCCCTGCTGTCAAACGAAGCAGTGCGTGGCGTGCTCGCGTGCACCATCCTGGCGAACACGGATATGCACGTGTGTGTGTGTGGTGTGTGTGTGTGTGTGTGAAAAAGGGGGGATGGACAGGTTCCTAGGTAGGGCGGGGAGGGAAGAACCGTGTTGTGTGATGCATCGTTTCGCTTGACCGCTACCAACGCTTTGGCCAGTCCGACCTTTTCCCTCTAATCGACCTTTAAATAATATCACACGCGTCAAGTCAGGCCGAAGTGAAAACGCTCGCGACGCGGATGGACTTCCATCTTGATCAGGTCCGCGACAGTCCTCCGCGCCATGCCAGCCCACTGATTCCGAGCAATGCTTCGTCGACCCGTCTCTCTCTCTCTGTCGCACCCCTGCGGTACTGTCCGAGAGAGAGAGAGAGAGAGAGACAGAGACAGAGAGAGAGAGACAGAGCAGCGACAGCACTGACCGGAACCAGTGGGAACTAGCTGGTATGAATGATCACCGTGCCACCGCCCAGCCGCTCGCTGCGTTCTACAGTGGGCCGGACACTCCGCATTTCGGCAGGGCCTTCACTCCGCTCCGCTCAGCGCCACCTCGGCTGCTTCGGGCATGCCGTCCGGTCGGGACGTGACCGAGGATGTGACCCCGGCAGCCGTGCGGCGCCGTGCGGCGACTGGCCGGGGCACGGGCTCGGCATCTCGGCCCGTCCGGCCGCGCTTTGACAAATCGACCCGTTTTATGAGCGCTGAATCGGCCCGTTAGGACCAAAGTCATGTTGGTGATGTCGGTCTACCTCTTTTTTCGCAGGTCGTGTTGTTATTTTTGTTGTTGTTGTTGTTGTTGTTGTTGTTGTTGGCACCTGTGCGTTTTTTTTGGTGTCGCGCTGCACTGCTTATGCGTATGGTCGTTCGTTGAAACACACACCTTCACACTCCAGGAGGATGGTATCAGTTTGCATTGATACTCTGCAAATCAATCTTTACCTCTCAGTGGAATGGCCACGTACTATGAAGCAATGAAAAAGTATGACTGTTATTCACTGCAGGAAATAACCACAACAAGAGTACACAAATTTCTGGCAAATTTTTTATCAGGTTTTTATTGTACTTTCGAAGTACAACAATTGTTGTACAAAGTAAAATGAAACCGGCATGACGAGTGATGGGCAGTGCAGGCGTCGTTGTGGTTTGTACAATTCTCGTTGTACTTTCTACAATCCCTGTTGTACTTTTATTGTACAGTTTTTGTTGTACATTTGTTGTACTATTCACACTTTTTCTTGCAGTGTTATATTTCTTCGTAATTGAACTGGGACAGGATGACCAAGCAGGTCATGTAGGTGCCGATCACCTGAGAAAAGGGCAAAACAGAAAGTTTACTCAGTGACATTCAATGCTCTCAGCACACGCTACTGCTTCTTCAACCAACTCCAGATAAGAGGGTCACTGTATACAAAATGGTTGCAGCGATAAGCTGCCATCAGGAGGACAGCGATCAGTAGGTACAAGAAGAGAAACGATAACTGTTTCGTTTACCCTAAAGTTGTTTTTACAAAAAAGGCATTTTTAATGCTCTATCATATTATTTCATTCAGATCATCTGAAATAGTGTACAGTTTGGACTAGATTGTTTTCCTCCGAACGTAGGGGCTACCACGCACACCGGGTACTGACCGCTTTCAGTGTGGGGAAGTCGAAGTACAGAAGGTCGTAGACCCCGCAGCGGCAGTCTTGCATCTCAACCTGATGGCGGAAACCCTGCACCTATACGGTCATGAATCGTGGTTAACAGTTCACCCTTTTGCATTTGGGAGTAATGTGTATTAATGCAAAAAATTAAGCTGCGCGAATGGAAAACATAATAGTTCTTTAAACCCAGTTCGGAAAAAAAAATTGAAGGTAGAGAAATAAGAGTATCGCCCACTCAATCAGGCGGAAAACTAGAAAATGGGTGAGTATCAACTCACTCATCATTTTTGCAGTTAATTTCTTTTATGGATTTTTGACTGGAGTTTCTTTTACGCAAAGTCAAGGCAGTCGGAAAACTCACTTCTCTCCTTGTTCCATCGGCTATGGAAGAGTAGCTCACTAGGAACCCCTGAAGCGTGTCGGATATTCGGGAATGCTGAAAAAAAAACCATGCACACGTGTAAACGCAAGTGTAAATACACCTCCCATCATCTCCAAGACAATAATACAGCAGGGGGATGTGCCTTTAAAGAATGCAATGTAAGACAAGAAATTTTATTTACGCCCTCAACGTCCTGCATAAAACTTTAATGCCGTTCAGGCAGTATTTTTCAAAGTATTTAGTTTACGAATTTACCATAGTAATCAAAGATTTGTTCAAAAGTTACAGAAAACTCTTTACGGCAGGTTACTGACGTTGATAAAGAGTCATTAAGACAAAGCATGGGTACGTGTTATTACAAAAAAACTTAGATATTTCACTGAGAATTAAAATGGCTTGATCAATACCCAATTTCGGGGGAGGTTTACTTTATCACCCAAATTTAGGCGAGGAAACTTTCCTCGCCCGAATCTGGGTAAAGCTTCCTGGTCCAAATTTGGGTGAGGAAGGGTGTATGAGCTACCTATATGGCTCCGAAGTATTATGACCAAAATTTGGGTGTTAAAGAATTCCTCACCCAATATTTTAGTCACGATCATGAATCTTCCATTCTCAGTGTCGACAGTATAACAAGGTGAAGAAGGGAATCCGTGCTGTCCACGAGCATCTACTTCTTCGAACTGCCCGCAGCCAAAGATCCTTTCAGCCATCACCAAGGAGGAGCAGCGTGTCACCAAGCGGCAACTGATGTGAACCACGTGCAGACCTCCCTTGTGACCAACCAGGGTTCAGCTTTCGACGCTGCTTTTTCCTGAGATTGATGTTTAGGGTTCTTCGCTGGGCAACGGCTGAAAGGGTTTATGGCAGTGCTACTTACGATTTCACAGAGTTGTTGGCCCAGGATACAGCTGGAGACGAACTTCATCACTAGGACAACACCCCAGACGAGGAATTCCAAGCGAAAGTCTGCGATGCCGACGAACGAGCAGATGGAGCCCTCCATCACAGTTATGAAAAGGCAGTAGAGACTAGCAGCGGCGTGTGCACGATTGCTGGCCCGCACTATGTCGTGCAAGACCTGCTGCCGCATTCGGAGCGTCCGCAGCTGCAGTGCCGTCTCCATGTCCTCCTGGAAACTCAAGCTCCCCTGCCTCCTGTCTCGCATGGTCAGGGAACAAACCTGACCCCGGACGTTGTCGGCAATGTCCTGGCCGAGAAACACGCAGGCGGTGTGCACGGCCACAATGGCAAGCTCGATCAGCGCCGTGTGAAGTGTGGGCAGGACGTCGGTGACAATGTACATGAATGACTTCCAGAGGCTTTCTGTCTGTGTGAAGGATTGCAGGAGACAGTTTTTAGGTTGTTACAGACCATACCAAGTGGTAAGAAAAAGCACTGAGGCCTTAGATAAAAGACTACGCACGAATGGGTCACCGGCAGCAAAGCCGAAGACGAATAGGCCCAATGAGGTGACTAAGAACCACGCCAGGACCAGAGCCATGCGACGAGACGAAGGGAGAGAGGGTGAGCAGGACGCCGAATAGCTGACCAGGCACTGAACCACGGCAGTCAGCTCAAAGCGGCGCCGGATCAACACCACCTTGTCAGAAATTTCCAAAACTACCTCTTTTCCTCAAATTCCTCGCCACTTCTTGCAGCCAAACTCCTAGCAAACTTTCGGCAGAGCAGGGAGCCGTATCACTTTGGATTATGAACCAACATGATCCCCAACGTACTTAATGCTTAAGCTAGCTGACACCGGGTGCTACACGGAGAATCCAAAAGCTATGATAATAGCGTCTATTCCACATGCAGTGCAATGCCTTTCCCATCCCTATGCATTAGCATAGGGCATTGTCGGGAGGCATTGCACGTTAGGTGCAATGACTATGGCATTGCACGTATGGTGCAATACCTCAGTGCATTGCACCACACGTGCTACATTCATAGCGTATGGAATGTCAGTGTAGGATTTAATGGGAACTTTGAGTGAAAACTTAGCAATGTCCAAATCATAAACGTAATACAGCGAACATTTCTTTTCAAAATCGGCGAATACCTGCAGTACTATAGAGAACAAGCACTTGGCCAAGATGTCCCCGGCAATCAGCCCCGAAAAATAGGATTCGCCGGGGTCTCGCAAGCTGTCAGAAGTACAAAGAACCAGGCTTAACATCTTGAAAGTGGTGAACACTATCATGACGGTGACGTTGTAGTACGTCCAGAAATGTGTAGGTCTTGGCGGCCATCCTGCTCCGCAATAATGACCATTGATGCGCAGCAACGCCAGTGTGACGCGCCACTGCACAAAAAACAGCCTGGCCCAGCGGGCGGAGCAGCCGCCTGAGGCCCCGTCCATCGCCTTAGTGCCGAAGCGGCGAAGCGGCCGGCCGCCGGCCGTGCCCCAGGATCGATGCTGGCCAGAGGTGGCGCCCCCCAGTGCTCGTTGGATTAATCCAAGCAAAAAAAGAGTGCACTCACAAAATTTAATATCTAAATGACAGCTCGCCTCATTTTGCTGAGTATGCGCTGTTAGTAGATTTACCGGGGAAAGGTAGCAAATTTTTAGCGGTCTTTTATCACAGCTTCTGAACTATCCAGCGACTTCAACTAATTCTGACCGCCCAACCATGACCAACTAACCAACCCGTTATCCACCCATCTCCGTAATAAACATGCGAACTGTATGTATATATCAAAATTATCAAACGAACCTCAAACTTTGTACTGATATGTGATCAAATAAGAAAAAAAGAAGCGTTGTTTCACAATGATAACTTTTATTGACACAAATGGAAAATATAAAACTACGTACAAAACAATCTGAATAAAGTGACAGTGAAATTTTCAGATTTAATCTTTTTGTTGTGGAACGCGAAATTTCAAGCATCTTTTATGCGAATCTTACACTTTATATGAAGGAATAATAATTTTGGCTGAGGTCTTTCGTTCATTACTTTTGTTTTATTGGTAATCAAACTGTGACAGAATGACCAAGCAGGTCATGTAAGTGCCAATAACCTAAAAAAGCAAAATATAAAAAAATAGGTGAGCATTCGAGATTTTCTTTCCACTGTTCCCCTTTGTAGGTCTTCTTTATGATCATATGTCATAGAATTCTCAATAATATGTCCTTATGCTTAGGGCCAACACCCAAACTAGCTACTGACCGCTTTCATTGTCGTGAAGTCGAAGTACAGGAGGTCGAAGATCCCGCACCGACAGTCCTGCATCTCAAGCTGATGGCGGAAACCCTGCACCTGCTCAGTGTCACAAGGCGTGTCACGTTAAGGTCACGTCAGAAGTTAAGTCTACTTTGAGTGATCACAAAACTTACTTCTCTCCTTTTTCTTTTGGGAATCGAAGAGCAGGTCACCAGGAACCCCTGAAGAGTGTCTGATATTCTTGAATGCTGGAAAAATAATGCACCCACACATTATTAATGCAAAGTACAACTCGCTCCATATACTTCAATTAACTGACGCACACTCTATACCCAAAAAAGTGCGTGGCTAACTTCCCCTGCGGTGTCACACTCGACGCACACACGAAATAAATGTATGTCTAGTTACGATGTTTAGCCTTAATGCAAGTAATTTGCCTGGTGATTGGTGAGATAAAGTGCGCAAAGGGGTGTTCGTTTTTACCAGTCTAGAACCGCGGCGTTTCCTTACGTTGTCACACAGTTGTTGGCCGAGAATGCAGCAGGATATGAACTTCGAGATGATGGCAGTACTCCAAAACACCGTCGTGATGCCATTCGAGTGTGCGATGCCGATGAACGAGCTGACGGCGGCCTCCATCACGGTGACAAAGACGCAGCACAGTTTGGCACCACCTTGCGCGTTGTTACTGGCCCGCACCACTTCATGAAGCGCTTGCTGTCGCGTCCGGAGTTCCCGCAACTCAAGCGCGGTTACAACGTCCGCCTCCACACTCATCCCTTTCCTTATTCGGCTGGCCAAGGAGCCGATCTGGTCCCGGACGTCATCAGCAGCGTCGCGGCCAAGAAACGCGCAACTGCCAAGCAGTGCCGCCATGGCACTTTCAACGAGCGTTGTATGATGCGTCGGTATCAGTTCGGTTACGATGTAGGTGACGGTCGTCAAAGATGGGGCAGTCTGTGCGGAAAAGAATCAGGTGATCCTCTTTTGGGTGGTGACAAACACATTGCAGAAGTTTCGATTCTCTTCTAATACGTGTCTGTCTACGCACCCACACATAACTGGCCGCGATGAGGCCGAGGATCGTAAGAAAGAATGAACTCGCCAAAAACCATGCCAGCACCAGAGCCATGCAGCGTGAAGAGGAAAGGGAAGGCCCCCGGCATGACATGTAGCTCACCACACATTCCACCAAGGCGGCAAGCTCGAAGCGGCGCCGGATCAACAATGCCTTGTAAATCATTCAATAAAATAATCATCAACAAACAACGCTTTCTTCATGAAGTTTAAAATTCACTGTACTGTACTGATCCGACGGTACAGCCAGTACCTGGAGCACTATGGAGAGCATGCACCTGGCTACGAGGTCCACGGCAACTAGCATCGCCACAAAGGTCCCGCCGACGGCTTTCACGTTGTCGGAAGGATGGATCAGCAGGCACGCGATCTTCAGGGTGCTAAGCAGTATCATGGTGACAACGCAGTAACGCGTCCAGCCCCGTGTGGGCATTGGCGGCCAACCTGCCCCGCAAAAGTGGCCGTGGATGCGCAGCAGTGCCAGCGTGCAACGCCACTGCAGCGACCACAGCCTGGCCCAGCGGGCGGAACAGCCGCTAGAGTTCACGTGCATCGCCCTAGTGCCGATGTGGCCGGCCGAGACGAGCCTTGGTCGATGTGGAACAGAGGTGACGTCACCGATTCTCGATGAACTGATCCAATTCAGAAGAAAGGCCCACTAACATAAAGCAATATCCAAATGGAAGCCGACCTGATAAGCACCTCATTGACTTTGAGAGTGCCAAAAGCTGCGTGGTTGGGCGTCTTCGAAGGGGAGTACAATGGTTCCCTAAGTTTGCGTTAAGAAAGTCTATGACCACGAAGGAAAAATAGTGATTCACAAAAGCATATTGCCCGCAGCCTTTTTTATTCATATTCAAACTGGGACAGGATGACAACGAACGTCATGAAGGTGCCAATAACCTGTAAAAGAGATATAAATAAAAGTTTACTCAGTGACCTTTTCGAATAATGTCAGATCTTTCTTTTCTCTCAGCTCTTCAGTTTCTCAATTATGTATCTAAATCTTGGTTGGTGATCGATTGAATACCGAGGAAAAGCAAGTCCCACTAACCAAAAAGTTGCATTAGCTGCAATCGTGTGAAAGCGATGTTAAAAAGTGAGTTCAAACTCAATACAAAGAACATGCTCCGAGCAAAGAAAACTCTATCTTTCTCCGTGCACATTTTTGGGGACAGATATATGGTAAATTCGACCTCCGAGTGCGGCCCCATCAATTGAACACGCTGCTAATCTGACCGCTTTCATTGTTGGAAAGTCGAAGTACAGCAGATCGTAGGCCCCACATCGACAGTCCTGCATCTCAACTTGATGGCGGAAACCCTGCACCTGAACAATTAAGTCACATAGTAATTATTAGTTTACTTGTTTACCTAACCAAATAAGGCCCTGCGTAGTGAAACAAATTTGGCTCCGTAAGCAGAAAGGGAGGTAGTCATGGTTTATCTGGTTTTTATCTGGATTGGGTCACACCCATCAATACACTGACACTTCCTAAGAGAACCTAATTATTGATGCCGCGCGAGTAATATCGTGACTGCTTCCTCTCCCTTGCCACTTTGGACGATTTTAGGTTTTAAGCAAAGTCAAAATGTGTAAAAAAAAATTGTCAGAGCAAATTGAAAAGAATTGACCTAACCACTTGGGAATGGTGGATACGATCTTCCTCTCGCATCACAACCAATTCGAATCTTTTTCGCGTTACATGAATTGTTTAGTGATACTGTTCTTAGGACGTGTTGAAAAGAAATTTCTTAACTTAACAAAAGTTGACGTCATTAATACAAAAATTACTGTGAGCTCTATAGATTAACTGCTACAGCACTGAACAAAATTTTAAGCTTGCAAACTTATAATAATAAGGCAACTTTTGCGCAGGACTCTTACATGTTTGATTTTCACACAAAACCGACTGGCAGGCAGGTCACCCAACTCACTTCTCTCCTTGTCCTATTAGGTATGGAAGAGTTGCGCACCAGGAACCACTGCACCATGTCTGCTATTCTCAAATGCTGAAAACACCATGCAATATTAAAAATGGTACATGATAAAGCTAGAATATTATCTCAAAAATTTCTGCATTCGGGAATCGATTGATCGCGAGTCTGTCCGTCTTCGTTTCTGTCTCTACAAAAATGTAGATCAAATCCACGCGAGCGTATTTTGTGCAAAGAGCCCATTTGATTTCGCCGGGTGTGATACTCAATGGTCCAAGTGCACCCAGCCCTGACTTCTTAACGATTTCGATCTTGAAATGACAATGTTTACTCACAATTTTGCACAGCTGTTGGCCAAGGATAAAGCTGGATACGAACTTTCCTAAAAGGCAGAAGCCCCAGAGGATGGGCACAATCCCTTGCGTTCTCAAGTAGGTGATGCCGACGAACGAGCTGACTGAGGCTTCCATCACGATGACGAACATGCAGCACAGGCAGGCTCCGCCATGGGCCTGGTTGCTCACCAGTACTACGTCTTGCAGAATCTGCTGCCTCATTCGAACCACCCGAAACTGCAGCGCGATCTTCATGTCCTCCTCAGGACTCATGTCCGTACCGAGTCGTCTTGCAAGGGTGTGGATCTGGCCCTGAACATCGGCAGCCACGTCCAGGCCGAGAAACACGCAGGCAATGTGCACGGCGGCAATCGAACAGCCGGCCAGCATCGTGTGAAATACGGGCAGCAGGTCGATCATATAGTAGGCGATTGTCATCATTTGTGTCGGGACCTGCACGAGAAAGTATTACGGTTGCCATTTGGTGGGTTAAGCTAAGAAGCATTTTAACCGAGATTTTGGTTGCATGGACCCACCCACAGACACGTGAGCACGAAGTCGGTGACGGGGTGCAACATCGAAGTCACCAAGAACCCTGCCAGAACCAGGGCCATGCCACGTGACAAGCAGAGGGAGGGTACCCAACACGACTTGTAGGCGATCAGGCACTGCACCACGGCGGCTTGCTCCGTGCGGCTCCAGATCAACATCACCTGGTCACAAATTTCAGAACCCCGTATATTCAGTCATAAATAAAGCTCACATGCGGCCTTCGTTCTAAAAATCAATCTAGATTTCGAACGTCCTTGAGATTAAGGCCGAGCGATGGTCAATGCTCGATCAGGGCCAACATCTTCTCAAAGAGAGATCTGAGCTAGCCCCGGTCATCCCCGAATGCAGCCAATACCTGCAGGACGATGGTGACCAAGCCCCTGGAGATGGTGTGTATGCCTGTAAGCCACCCCAAATAAGACACGTTCGATGCCCCGATCTGATTCGCGGCATAGAGTAGGATGCTTGAGATCTTGAGAGAGGTAGCAACAATGCAGATGGCGACGCAGAAGCGCGTCCAGAACCGTGTGGACCTTGGTGGCCACCCCACCGCACAGAAGTGGCCGGTGACGCGCAGCAGGGTGAGCACGATGCGCCACTGCAGCGTGAACAGCCAGGCCCAGAAGGCTGGCCAGCCGCCCGCCCGCCCGTCCATTGAACAAGTGCGTGCGCCGCCGCTCTAGCGAGTACAGTCCAGCCGAAAGGCGGGCCAGCCACCGGACTGGCCATCCATTGAACAAAAGGGCCGCCACCGCCGGACACGCCCTCCGGTCGATGCCGGGCAGTGCCAAGGGCAGAGCCACCGACGAACGTCACCGCGTTTCAATCAAGGAGAAAGGCGGTTTTCGAAAATACACAAGATTGCCGTGAACAAGCATAAATATGTGCATGCACAGCTATGCATACGGGTCCGCGAGACTTTGGTGTGAGCACTGTGAAAATCCGAGTCGTCACTTGATGACAATTTCAAGGCCAATTTTCCTTACAACAATGTCATCAAAAAAATTGATGACATTGTTGTCATGCCCATGCAATAAGTGTAGGAGCTTTGATGAAAATGTCATCAATTTGTGATGAGATTGTCATGATTTGAAAGTGATGAAAATGTCATACGCGTTTTTGTCATAAAGTGACAACAAATTTTCCCAGTGGTTTCTGGACTCGAGTAAAAGCCAGCTGACACCTTTATGTGTCTAAGGTATGTTTTAAATGAAATTTTAGGTATGTTTTAAAGTGAAGGTATTATCTGCTGAAAAAGCTACTGAGCGTTAAGCGCCCTCCTCCTAGAGCAGATTGAAATAAAGGGTTTGTTGTTTGCCTATCCAGTGTTGTCCCTGGCGATCGTAGCTGCGGACGCCACCGCGGGTAGTGGGGGTGAAAGCAACACGCAATAATGTGCTGCCAAGCGCCGCGGGAAAGACTCATCCGGGGTTGGTGTGGGGTTGCTGGCGAGTGATTCCGCACACCACATTCGTTGGTCTGTCGCTCTCGCTCACCGAGGGGCCACCGCAAGTGCGAGAGAGAGAGAGGGAGAGGCCTGCAGGGCCTGCGGCACCAAGGGAGGTCCGCGGGCCACACTCGTGGAGGCACGCGGCGCACGCATCCCAAAGGAAAGTGGTCGCCAATCCGTGAGGCCGTGCCGCGCATACCGGCAGATTTGCATGGCGGGTGGATTTGCCCATGTTCCGGAGTGGTGGGGGAGGGGAAGAGCGGTTGGTCCACGTCCACCCCAACACGACGGCCCGTCTGGAATCGAATGAGCCATGCCTGCACGACTCCGCCGGTGGGGCCAGCCTCCAAGCAGTGCATCATTGCTCTGTCCTCCTCGCACCCGTACGGGGAGCCCCATGCATGGTAAGAGGACAGCGTCGAAAGCACACATTGCCCCAGCGTGCTGGCAGCACATAACACGCAAATCCTAATTACCGGGTGGGTCGTTTAATTTTCGGCGCCATCAGGGTGGGCCATCTCGGTGGGCTGGCTTCTGGCACGGCGTGCAGCGTGCAGCGGCGGGCCTCGCGATGAGAGCAATCCTCTCTGAAGCTGATCACGCATGTCCGCAGAGCGCCACACAGCACCGCGTACGCGCGTTCGGTTATTCGGCAATGGATTGGGGCTGGGCCCTGGCGGTGGCCGCCACGCCCGGTGGAAAGTAATTACTGCGCATACACTCTGGACACTGTCCACAACGGCACATGCTGCGCGCTGCGCCGTGGCAGTGCCCCAGCCCGAGGAACCGGTCCGGGCCCCGGTCAGGGATCCGCAGTGTCCGCGGCGAGCGGCCGGGCCGGGCCGGCGATGGAGACCATTCTCGCGGCCCTGGCCTGGCTCGCCCGGCCCTGCTGCTCCCGGGCCGGTGCAGACCAGCAGCACGCGTCTCTCGGAACAACAAGCACCGCATCGACTCGGACGAGGACACTCAAGACTGAAACCGCCCCTGGTGAGCTCTAGCTTGCCGAGTAGCCGATCAGTTCGGCCAGCAGAAACGATTCCCGTCCAGTTGGGTCAAAAAACTCATCAAAAAGTCTCGAAGCTTGGTTTCCGCAACGAAATATAAAGACCAAGAACGCGGACGCAGCGTTAATGACGACCCAGCTCACGCGTTGTTGAACATACCGGCTCACTCGATCTATTGGTGCAAGAGAGCCTCGGTGCCTTCAGTACCTGTGAGGTGACCATAAGTGTTCAAACTGGTGGGCGGTTGATCTAGAGTGTATCCAACGATTCACATTCTTTGACGACGGAAAATCGGTTTGGCCGGACTGGACCAATTCGATTCGACCGATCAGTACCTCGGCCGTTTTTTTATTTTTTTCATTCTTCGGTGAAGGGCCAGCAGCCCATTATTCATACACCGTGCCGACAGCGCCCGTGGCGCGACACTTCGGCTGACTTATCCTTCGCCGCGATCGGCGTGGAACCGCCGCCGCCACTCGGAGAGGAATGCGGTGCTTTTGCTCGGCTATCGGCCTGCACTGCATTGCATGGCCACCGAAAAGGACTGCACAACAAACCCCCGCCACTTCTTTCCCGGCCGCTACTCCAGTAAACGCGACTTCCTCCGCGTCTTCCGCCCGGCCGGCCGGCCAGTCGGCCAGGCAGTCGGCCGGTCGGCCCGGGGGACTGCAATCAAAATGTCGTAAAATTGGCACGTGGGGATTTCGTAACTCCGGGCCGGCGGTCGGGCCGCTGGTGCCGCCACCAGGGGGCTCTGGTTCGGCGGCCGCGTCCGGGGGCAGCGAGGCTCGCGAAGCACCGTGCTTCCGCGGATTCCTGGCTGGCGGCCGATCACCGGCCGACACACCCAGGTCACCGTTGCCCAGACAATGGCCTGCGCTCGGCTGTCTGCGAGGCCGCTAAGCTTTATGGGAGCACCGCCTGCCGATGGCCTAGACGCCTAGGTCAGCGCGCGCACGCGGCCTTACCGGCAAATCACTTTCTCCGGAACGGCTGGGCAATTATCAAAATTATTGTTGAGTGAGGCGTCGTCGACTGCGATGGGGTTCCGATAAATCTTAACCGCGCCCTGTGACTGCTCCTTTTTTTCCGCGGTGCACTGCCTAGGGCCCCGTCCTGCGCAACCGGAAAAAAGGGCCGAGGCTGCAAGCGGGCCGGGCGGGCGGAGCAGCAAGTGCCGCGACAACTAGAATGGGATGCGCTAACCGGCCGGGACTCCGCCGCGTCACTGCGAGACAGAAACGGAAATGGCCCGAGCCGGAAGTTGTGTGTCATGACCCTACTTACAGTGATTGGCTATTATTTAAGCAGGCGCAACGCGCTGCCCTTTACTTTTTTATGGCATCGCCGCTTTATTGTTATTCTTGTTTTTTTTTGTCCTGCAGGGATGATGGGCTGGTAGCGCCATGAAGACCCCTTCGCTGCTGGCGGGCCTGGTGCCTGCACTGGCCTTCCTGTCGCTGGTCCACCTCAGCGTGGGTGAGTTTACTTCGCAGTCACTCGTCCCTTTCGAGTTTCTTTCTAATTCAACCTCACTAATCAATCAGTTTGACTTGATCGCTGTGTCGTGACCGGCCCTTCTCTTCCTCAGAGGGATGACTCGCGAACCGCGTCGTATTACCAAGTCATTGCAGGATGCAACCAAACATCAAACGACCTTACTCGATCGCCACTCGGACACATGATCCGGACTATTAAAACTAACACATAGCATTCCGCTCCAATAAATCGTTAACCAAATCTATGAGCTTACTGGAGGTAGAGTCAGAAAAATGCCACTTACGTTCAACAGAGCATAATACATTTTCATTAAATCAATACTGAATATCGTAGAATTGAAGGTGGTGTCCTTGAGCTTGGGAACTTATTCCTTTCAATTTCTTTGTATTATACAGTTTAAAGAAATTCCCTTTGAACTAATGTAACCACGTTTTTGCGTGTAAACTGTTTTAAAGCATTAACACTCGTGTAAATCTTGTCAGAACGCCAGAAATCTGTCTGAAAACCTGATCAAAATCAAAAAATCAAAATGACCTCTGAAAGCCGAAAGCTTATTCAGACATTCTGCAGATTCAGGCCATCAATTTTAGAATAAGTTTTCAGCATTTCAGCTTTTAGAAGTGCGCGAAATTTGATCAGGATTGCAGGACATGTTTCTGACACTTTGTCAAATTTACACGAGTGAAGATACATCGCGTGGTTTTATGGTCCTGTACGCTTGAGGATGGTTGTAACCAACAGAGTGCTATGTTACCACTCAGTTCTGCCAGTAACATGGGAGATGGAAAGGAGCCATGCAAAAACTAAAACCTTTGACCGATGCCAGGTTGGGCACCGAAGAAACATTAGCCATCAGGTTGCAGGCCGATGCGGATCTCCGCGAAGTGGGCACTCTGGCGGCCTGGCCGGCGGGCTGGGCCTGGCTGCTGGCCTGGCTGGTGGTCGCGCCAGTGCCCGCCAGGGCGGTCGACCTTACATGTATCGATCCGCAACAATTGAGCCTTGCTGAGTGAATGCGCCCCACTCCCCCGCATCGTGATCGGGCCGCTCTAGATCACGTCGTCGCCGCGCCCCGCCGCGCTGCTTGCGCAAAGCAGGACCGACCATTATTATTGAGCCACGCTCATCAGCGAGGCAACGCTGCTAAATCTCGGCACAAGCTCGGTTTGGATCCGTGGGTTTTCCCTTCAGTTTTTTAAGCATATTTTAAATCTTGCCGTCCTAGTCGCGTCATGATCCCCCGGCCCGGCGTCCGATTACGATACTGTTCGGAGACAGCGCTCGCCGCGCGACTCCCCGACTCGCTGTCCAGCTGTGAGTATTCAAACGGCCCCAGGGAGATGAGACCGGTTTTGCCAATGACCCTGCAGCCTGGCCGTGCTGCCAGCGCTCCCTGACCGTGCCGCCGCCCTGCAGGGCTACGCCATGGCTACGCGGTGCTCAGCAGTGCGCCCGACGACCGCCTGGCGCTACCGCGCGACGCGCACTTCCAGCCAGTCAGTGGGTCGCACAGAGCATCTACGTCCAAAACAATAACTATCTTGAAAAGTTAAAAAAAAAACTTTAAATACTTCAACCAACAGAATAAAACACTGTTTTATTTTGCAAAACTGCTGTGCAAACACCCCCTTCACACACACACACACACACACACGCACAAACACCAATACACACACATGCCCATATGCATACACAGCATGCAGTTGACAATCTTGCGGTTTTACTCCGGGCCAAAACGCGTACCGCAGGAAGCGAGTAACTCCCCGCGGGACACACGGCGCGGCGGTTGCGCTGTCGCCAGGAAGTCGCGTGCGTGAACGGACAATAAAAGTTTTGACGCGCGATAAACGAGTAAACGAGTGCAATCGATTCAGATCGGAGCACGTGTGTCCTTTTACGTGGACAAGTCGATAAAAAAACATAAAAACGCGGTGACCGTTATCCCGCTGGGCTGCGGGATCTTCTTCTGACAGCCAGGCCCGGCCAGTGAGCCGCACCGGCGACGCCTCGCAATGCCTGCTGCAGCACTGGACGGGGAAGAAAGAAAAAGAGAGAATAATCATAATGGTGGTCCGTTTACTGTTAGTGTGATCCTGACGCTTGTGCTGACCGGCCCGGCGGGCTTTGCCGAGAACACACATTGCTTTATCGGCGTGCGGTCTCTGTCCGACTGTCGCGTGGAGCGGTGAGGGACGCAGCCTGGGACATGGAATCTTAGCGAGCTTGGGGAACCTGCACCGACCTGCGTAATAGTGATCTGTAAGAATCCGCCGTCCACACGGTAAAAACGGTTCCTGGTTTTCCCAGAAACTCCCTGGAAATCATGTCGTTAGCATAGGCTTCCTGGCAAAAAAAAATCAGGAACCGTCTTTGCCGTGAGGGAGTCAATGACGGTCAGTGTGAGGTGAAACTGCATTGCAAACACGTGATTTGGTTTACTTTTACCGAACAGGCTAGGAAGGGATGGTGACAAAACACATGCGCGCCCATTCCTTAAACCCACCTTCAGCCCCCATTCCTCGTGGTGCGATTCGCTCGTTTATGAGAGTGTCTGGCTAAGAGCGATGGCGCACGCTGGACGTGTTTGTAGCATGTGCCACATCGCGCTCCGGCCGCCTTGTGGTTTACGCTGCACTTATGCCAACACGTTACAGTAATTTATGTGCTCCTTAAGAAAGGACAGGGCCCTTCCGAACAATCATCAGCGGTTGTCCTTTTGAATCTACACAACACGTTAGTGAAACAAGAACGCCTGTGCGCGGTCGGTGAGTTGTATGCGTTGTAAAATTGTGAGCACTCGGACACAAATAAGCCCGGAGCGGTGGAAGAAAAAACAAACTGCCCTGAATCGTTCGACCATTACTGTTTGCTCTTTGCCGAGGCTGAGGGAACCGAGGGAACAGCAACTCCTTTTTGGTGGAAAAGGGCCGCCGGGCGCCAATGATACCCCGAGACGTTACGGTACAGCACCAGTCGGCACCAGTGGTAGCAAGGTCGGGACGGGACGGGGCTAGAGCGGTCTAGCAGCCGGAGCGGAGAGGCGGGGCGAGGCGGGGCGCTGAGGCGGGGCGCTGAGGCGGGGCAGGGGAGGGGATCCAGGGGCCGACGTCCGAGGCAGAATGCCGAGAATTACGTACGGCAGCCTGTCGGTGTGTGTGTCGTGCCCGGCCTCTGCCTTCGCGTGTGACGCGGCGCGGTCGCGCGGTCGCGGGCCGCGGCGGACGGCGGACCGACCGGGCCGCTTTTATAGTGGCTTCATTTGAAGACTCGTTAAAAGGTTTCCGATCGCCGCGGACTGCGAAACGTGACGCGTCGCGGTGCACGTCGTCGCGGTGCTCGACGCCATCCTGGCAGTGCGCGACGCGGTGCGGGACGCGGCCAGGGCCGGACAGCCGTTACGGGCGGGCTGCCTGCTCGCCGCGCGCCACCGCGGTGAAGGGGCTGACTTTGAGTGCGAGACACAACAATTATTATTACTGCAAGCGTGTCCTTTTATGCGTGTGGCTACAAAGTGCTCGGCGGCCTGAGCCTCGCGCTCGCGCAGCGGCCGCGTGGTTTGCTTCGTTTCGTGGCGCCACCAAGAAGGCAAACGGTCCGTGAAGGAGTCGCGCAGTCTAGAATAGTGATGACTTTTTTTTTTTTGAAACAATGTTTGCGGGACCGGCAATTTGTTTGTTGATTCCAACACAACGAATGTTCACTGTTGTGACAGCAGTTATTAAAAAAATGCAAGTTCTTGGCTGCACCCAGAAAAATAGACTATTCACACATGAATGGTCTCTTCTCCTATGCGGAACGGACTGAGAGCATTTATTGTTGGGATCAAAAACTCAATGAAAAACACTCGTTACCAATTTTTCTCTGGGTGCGACGGCAGAACCCGAATAAAGAAACAACGAGTTCACACCTCCTTACTTTTTTTGTAACCTTTAATCGAAGCAGCGCCCGCGACGATTTCTATACAGAAATGATCCGAAAACTACAAGTCGACACTTGACGGGTAGCCAAGAAAGCTTTGAAATACAGATCGGTCTTTAAAAATGGTTCGTGTAGATCGGTCATTGTAGACGAGCGCTCTGTAGATCGGACTTTGTACCCAAGCGCTCTGTAGATCAGCCATTGCTGACCGGATGCATCGCATTCACACATGAATGGTCTCTTCTCCTATGCGGAACGGACTGAGAGCATTTATTTGTTGGGGATCAAAAAACTCGAATGAAAAACACTCGGACCAATTTTTCTCTGGGTGCGACGGCAGGAACCCGAAAAAAAGAAACAACGAGTTCACACCTCCTTACTTTTTTTTGTAACAGTGTGAGAGTAAAGCGACGTGAGCAGGCGCGCCGCGCGGCGCCTCGGCCGACGATTTACTTTCCGACGAAAGTGATCCTGATCTAATCACGTCGACACCGACGGCCGCCTTATGCCGAAGGATCGGTCCGTTGCTCTGTCTCTGTCGCACTCTGTCCCGGCGGGGTGCGAGCGAGAGAGACAGAAACGCCCCTTCGGAATCGGGCGGCAGGTCCACGACCGAAGAACGAAACGGAACGAAGCGGAGTGGCCCGGCAGTCGCCCGGCGGGCACACTGGCGGGCACACCGGCCGCACCGCCCCGCCTCAGGGAGGCTGCGGCGTGCGTCTCTTTTTTTGTAACAATTGCCGACAATCAAACTGAGCCACGAGGGAGAAAAAGTACATCTCCTGTCGCGACCGTGAAAACGGGATGAAGAGGCCTTTCTCTCAATGAAAGCCCTCTTGCTTCGTGCCCGGCGCCTCTGTCCGCCTCTATCGTCTGCATCGGCCCAGACGCTTACTGAACGAGACAAGTCGTGCTCACTGCGCGCGCCATAGACCCCGCTAAGCTCGTCGCCGATTCAAGACCGAAGGGATCCGGACCGGAAACGGAGAATGGATCGGGGCTGGCTGACTCATCTTCATATTTATTTTCTAAATCTGAAAGCGACGTCGACGTTTAAAACC